CAAAAAGTAATTTTTAGAAAGATAACAGGCTTATGCAATTGTGCGGTTTATTTTGCGAAGCTCCCCAATACAGGAGACGAATGCGAGGGTTTCGTTCAAAGACCTCGTCGTGTCTCCTCTCGAAGTTTTGATCCTACTGCGAATGAAAAGATCGCAAGAGCACAGGGCTTCGTCTCTCCTCGATGCTTCAGGAATCAATAAGAAAGCCTTCAAAATGAGATTACAAATTACGGATGTTACCGTTTGCATCTTTACTAGCTTTTACGTGTAAGTAATTCAAAATGAGATTGACTTAGCCTGTGAAAAAATATGCATCTAATGTAGCAGCTGAAAATGCGGATGAAAAAATTATAGGTCGCAGCCTTGGTCATTTATTTTGCTGTGCTAGCTAGTTTCTCATTTCTCTCCAAGATTTTCTGCATGTTGGTTGTTTGAAGGTTGTTTTGGTGATTTCTGTCAGTTTGCTTTGCTTTGGGCCCCTCTATTGCAGGTGTTCTTCTTTTGTTTGTGCTGTTGGTTTGCTGCCTTCCTTCCCTTAAGCCTTCTCATAAGTTTTTGTGTTTTTGGGCTCTGCCTTTGTGTTTTTCTTTTCTGTTTGGTCAATTGTATTAGTTAGGATCATTGGCTCACTATGTTTTATTTCGAATACTATATTTTTTACATAGAATTTGATCCTCTAAGGACCTATAATTTTTCTGTTAATTAATGCATATGAACCTTGTGTTAATTTATATATATATGATTTGCTAACATCTCTAAGCATGTATACATTTTAGATAGTATTTTTCAGAGCTCTATTTTTCCTATTTTAAATAACTAATTTGGTTTGCTGGCATGCGTTATACTGATGTCAAATGATTAATGAATTGAGAATTTTTACATTATACATAAACTTTTTCTTTTCTTTTTTTTTTACATTATACATAAACATGCTTCTTACTTTCATCTAACTTTATTGAATGTTTTTGTAGAATAATAGAAGTTTATATCCATATTAATTATGTATAAATCATTTATAAGTATACAAACATTGCATGTAATATTCATGTAGCATTTAATATCATTGACACATTATGTCATAACTTAATTTTAAACTTTATTAATTATATCATTTTTTTTTAATTTTTTTTTAATTGACGTGCACCATGTTCACTAACAGGAAGGCGTAAAGCTACTAATATAATCACTTTCTCTTGGATATGCTTCCAATATTTTATAATTTGCAGATTAATATTATATTTTGTGTTAATTTTATAATTTCCATAGTCCTATTTTTCTTTAGACATTATCTAAATGGATGACTTCAAGCATTGTGGTCGTTGCCTAAATTATGAAAAGTTATTACATCCGACAAAAAATTAAAAATATGGGCAAATACCGAGCAATACCAAGTGCTCAGTACTGAGCACCCAAGTGACGTGGCACTTTGTTATTGGTCTCTGAACACGTTCGGTGTCCGGACACAATAATTACTCCTAAATTGGACCAAGAATTCACTTCTTCTAGCCATATGTAAGTACATCTCTATTATCTTAGTGCATATCACTCCTCTTGTAATTGAGTTGCGTAGTTATATAATCATATTATTCTTCTTTTTTAATGTTATTCTTTTGTTTTCTAACTTTTCAACTTGCTTCATCTTAGATTTACAAATATATGAATATATTAGAATTTGGTAAAAGACTTGAGAGGGCTTAGCTTTAAAGCCATATCTCTTATAATGGATACTTCTAGACTTTGTCAAAGGGAAGATGACATCAAGAATACGTTTTTACTCGATTTGCAAATAGCTTGTGAAGCTACATATATTGCGTTTTTTTTTTTTTTTCTCTAATCAAAATTCAGCCCAATAGACTAAACTTCCATAGATTTTCCTATAGATGACTTATTGCATAACTCAGCCCAATAGACTAAACTTCCATAGATTTTCCTATAGATGACTTATAGCATAACTCAGCCCAATAGACTAAACTTCCATAGATTTTTCTATAGATGAGTTATTGCATAACGTACATTATAATGACAATTGTTCATCATAAAATTTTAATAAATAATTATTGGGACCTTTAGCTATCGAAAGGATATCAAATTGATATTTGAATAATTAATTATTTTTATAAAATAATTATTGCATCCAAACAATTATATATGTAATAATTTATTTAATAAATAATTGAACCTGTAAATTAGTATATCCTTCCTACAATAAAACTAACTACATCTATATAGATATATTCAAGAAAATTAATAGCTAAAATTATTAATAATTATAATTACTTAAAATGATAAATTTACTAATTTTTTATTTTAAATAATAATAATATAATTAAAATATTTATAATATATATTTTTACTTTTAAATTTTATTTACTTGCATTAAATGCACATGCACTAAAACTAGTTGAATGCAATGGCAACATCACAATACATAAGAATAAGAAAACAGAATGCCAAAACAGCACCACCTACTTTGCTGAATGATATATACACGAACCATAAGACAGGTCAGAAATTCTACTTCTTGCAGAAAATAAAAATAAAAAGAATATAAAGCCAGAATATAATGTGACAGAATTTGACAAAAATCAAAACATTAAATGCCAGCAGCATATAGAACTAGCTACAAATTAGAAAAAATACATTGCACCAGCAAGCTAAATAGGTTTGGCCATTCATAGAACACTGACACAATGTTTGCCATAATCAAATCTGATCCCAGCAAAAACCAAATTAATTTCAATTGATTTTCGATATGCGAGTGTGACCGAATATATATGAATGAATACATTTAAATCATACATTTTGAGCAAGTTTAACCAAATCCAGCACAACTAGACTGTTTCTTATTACTTCTTAAATCAACTTTTTAGTACAAATATTTTAATTTTTATATTAAAAAATTACTTTAGAAGCAGTAAGAAAATTGTTCCCATCAATATTAAATGTTTAGTTCTCTTTTCTCTAATCCAGAGTTGATGTCTAGGGTCCTATCATTCCCAATATTTCAAGAGCAAAATAATTTACATCATTCATTGATGATTGCAGCAATCCCTTCAATTTCTGTACACCAAAAAGGAAACTGAATTCTATTCTTCCCAATTTATATAACATGGTGCAAAATTATTTTGATATCAAAATCAAATAGATTAAATCTGATAATACAAGGAACTTGATCTTCACCTCATACTTCCAAAGAGAAGGCCTTGCTCATGAGTGATCATGTGTATAAACACTGGAATTATTCCATTTAAAAATAATGTATCCAAGTAATAATGCTTAGGGAATCAAATCTGACAGCCATGCCTGATCAATAAGTTATCTTTTGGAGACTTCGATTACAAGAGTCGCATAAAAATCTTGTCCAAATGCCATCATAACCTAAGAATCTCACGTGGTTTCCTCTATTTAACAAAGTGTACCCAAGATAAAAAATGTTATTGAACTTGCACTAGTCCGAAGATCTGATTGGATTCCTAAAATTGAGGTAAAAGCTTCTAATTCAACTTTACAAAATGAGTCACATAAGTTCTTTGGTCGCAATCTTAATCATAGTCATCCTAATGTCTGTCATCCAGGAAGAAAACCAAGGAATGTGCAAACATTGAAAAGATTTTCAGTATCTCATACGAGTTTCCTTGTAAACCTAAATAGCATTCTCATTCCTGCCATTTTATCTGAGGCTTTATCTAAAGCTATGAAGACAAAGATAAAAGCCTTAAAATAGAAAAAAATATGAGAACTGGTGAGTTCGCCTATAGGAAAAATACCCATATGATACAAATGCCTTAAATTACGAATACCAAAATAAATGGATCACTAGCATAGTACAAAACAAGGTAGTAGCTAAACAGTAGACACATAAATATGGTTGCCAAGATGAACACTAGAAAATTTCTACTATCTTTGGTACTTAATATGGTTGTGAATTGCAACAATTTGATGCTAAAATGTGTTCATATATGGAGACCTTGAAGATGAGATTTATATAAAAAACTAAATTGGATTTGAAAGAAGTATTTTCTACAAATAAAATATGCAAGCCAAAAAGGGTCTTGTATGTATTGAAACAGTCTCTAAGGGTATTGATTTCAAAGGCTTGCAAAGGTGCTGCTAGCTATGGATATAAGCAAAGTCAAAGAGATCATACATTATTCATACTTAAACTCATGGTAGTCACAATCATTCTAATGTATGTTGACGATATAATTATATGTGGAACCTATGAAGAAAAAAATAATATTTAAAGTAATTTTTTATCAAAGAATTTGAGATCAAAAAGCTAAAAAAGTTGAAGTATGCCTTAGGAATTAAAGTAGCAAAGTCCATGCAAGAAACTTAGTATCTCAATAAGAGCACGGCACTCGCCTATTGAAAGAAATAAGAAAATTGGAATGTAAGCTAGCAAGTAGATCAATAGATCCCAATTATAAACTTGGTGAAGCTAAGAATGAAGTGGCAAGGATATATATTAACGTTTGATGTGAAGATACATTTGTCACTCCTATCAAAGACCAAATATAGCTTATGTTGTTAGTGATCAGGCAGTTTATGCACAATCTAAAGAAAGTTCACATGTAGTTTGCAAACCAAATATTGTAGTACATAGAAATAGCTCCAGAGAAGGGAACCATAATAAAAAAACACATGTTTAATACTTGATGCGTATATAGATGTTGATTATGTCAGATAATATCCATAGATGATCAGCTTCCGAATATTACACTTATCTAGATGAAAATCATATAATATGGCAAAATAAGAACCAAAATGGTGGCAAGATCAACTGCTAAAGCAGAATTTCAAGCAACAACTCTAGGTGTTTTTGAACTACTATGGTTGAATATTACTTTGGAGTATGTGAAGATTCAATGGGATAGCGACATGAAACTTTATTGCGTTAATAAATCTATAAATGAGCATAACTCATAATGAAGCATAAGCAAACAAACATATAGACTAATATATATATTTTCAGATAGTTTTAGGCAAGAGGTGTAATATATTTTTTAATGTTTTTTAATATATATATATATATATATATATATATATATAAGCTTGAATCAATAAGAAAATATTTAATTTTTTCTCAGCTTCGTTCTGCCACAAATACAACCTTTCAAGGAATTATGCAGCACTTAGCTACCATAAAATCTAGAAGAAGGTGCCTTCTGGGGGCTGGACAAGCTTCCGATTCTGAGGAGCAAGCATTTCCTTTTTCAACTGAGTCAATATGTCCTCCATGGTATTATCCCTTTGCCAATGAGCCAGCATACCAAACTTCTTTGGTTCCACCTGCAAAACATGACCAAAATATAATCAAAATAAAATAGACAAATAAAAGTGATGAGGGCATCGACCGTGGAAAGTTTATCAGAGAAGGAGCCGAAGATCTACGGCCATGATTGGACCACTTTGTTGTTGAATTATTATTTGTATTTGATTTATTTATGCATTTTTTCCATTTTTACCCTCACTTGAGGGAATAGGCTTATGTGACCCCAGGGGGCACTTCTGTCATTTGATTTGTTATTGTATTTCAGCTATTTATAGCCCCCTCCTCTTCTTTTCGAGGGAAGATGATTATTATAAAAAGAAAATTTTGCACTTTGTGTTTGAGAGCTTGATAGTTCTTGTGAGAGTTGAAGTCCCTAGGTGAGGGCAACGTATTACCCATCAGCTATAGGAAGCGTCCGAACTCGTGGTCCATCTCCTCTGCCAATTTCCCCTCCTTTCTCCTAGCCGCCACCTCTATCTTCCTCTTTCACTCTTGGCTGAAAACCACCCCAGCCTTTTCCATCACTCAGCCAACCACCTCCCCCTAGCTGCCAGCCACCACTTTCCCAACCCTTGGCCGACCCCTTCCCCCACCCAACCACCGGCCCCACCACCTATCCTAGCCGCCGGCCATCTTTTCCCCCTCCCTTTGGATTCAAACTTAGCATTCAAGAACTTTCCTAAATTAACCACCTTTTAAATTTGGAAGTTTATTAAATTCAGATTCAAATGAATTTGAATTTGAAAGTTATTCCTGCCCTCAACTCATGCTTTATTTGAATTTTAAATAGGATTTGATTTAAATATCATTTCCTATTTTAAAGTTCCAAATCTAGCAATCCATAAAGTCTCCCATTAAATCCTTTCCCCTAAGCCTAGTTGTCGGCCCCCACCTTTTCTCTCCACCATTATTTCCTTTCCAACTTGGGTTCCCAATCAAACCAACCATCAAGGTGCCGCCCCTCCTTTCCCCCTTTATTTTGGAGATTCAAATTCAAATTTCTCCAATTAATCTCCCAAATTAATGCGGCCATTAAATCTCAATTCATCCGAAATGATTCTTGATTTAAATTGCATGCTACCTACGAAAGAGAATTAATTCAAATTTCCTTTAATTGCTGCCCCTACATTAATTTGACCTCTAAATCCAGAATTATTCCATCCTTTGCGTCGGCCACTTAGCCCCACCCCCTCTCTCAACTTCTTCTCCTATGCTTGATATTTCACCAAAGGAAGAAGAAATAAAACCTCCTCCCTTAACCATCCATATGGAAAACCCTCGAGCACCTTAATCCTTTGACAACAACAAGGACTGTTCGCTTCAAGGAGAACTCACAAACAATCATCGCCCGGATCCTGAAAGACATTGGAGCAAAGTTCAGAAGTTCGACGAAGTTTTACATCAAGTTCAGAAGCTTGGGGATGTTCTACATCATATCAAAGTTTAGAAGTTCGACGAAGTTCTACATCAAGTTCAGAAGCTTGACAAAGGTGAACTCTCTTATAAATCATTTATTCTTCTTCTAACTCCTCGATCGTGACATCATTAGAGTTATGAAAGCTTCTCCGCTTAGCCCTTATCATGAGTTTGTGTGAGGGATCTTAATAGCGACTAATCTAACTGTTAATCAAGGGATTTCCTTTGAAAGCCGCACAAAAAGCTAAGTTAGATTTGATTTGATTGTTTTTATGTTCCTATCATTAGCTCGTAATCGACTGCCTGAACCTAATCATTGCTTTATTGTTTTCAATCTCTTTTAAGTTGCAAGAAGTTACCAATTGATATTTCTCACTTGTAAGAGTGTAATTTTAAAGATAATCGCATCTCAAGTTCATATAGCCCTACCTCAAAAAGTTAATATTTTTACCTCGTTTGGTAAGGCTTTCAAATTGTTACGTGCTTCTGCAAATGTGTTGTTAATGATCATGAAGCCATTAAAGAGTTCACTTACATTATATTTATACCATGCTTTTTGTTCAACATTTTTCACACGAATAAACATTGAGATGCAAGGTTTGTGAAAAGCAAAGGCACCAAAAAGTGTAACAAAGGCTAGTTTGCTTTGAGGAAGTGTTCGCAAGTGGTTGGAGTTGACTTTAAAAAGTAAGCCTTGTTTACATAAGATTAAGTGGTGTTTGTTTGTTTGTTTTTGTGAACTCAGTTGCAGTGTTTAAAGTATAATGAGCTTCATAAAATAATGCTAAAGTAATAGATTATGAGTGATTAATATTTTATTAACCTAATTATTATACTCATAACAATAATCTGATTATTTAGACTAATTGCTAACTAATATATAATCCTTACATTAGTGGTTAATTAATTATTAATCATATTCTTTAATTCTAGACCATGAAATTTATTGAATTAGCCTAAATAATAAGATGATTAATCTTCTAATCATAATGTACAGATGTAATCACTATAATTATTTCATTACTGCTTTATGGTGCAAAATGTTGGTCATTAAAGAAAAGCATAAAATTAAGTGAAGTGTTACAGAAATGAGGATGCACAGGTGGATGAGTGGCTTTAAACTTAGAGACAAAATGTGAAATGAGTATATGCGTGAAAATGTTGGAGTAGCTCTAGTGACAGATATGATTAGAAAGAGCCTCTCTTAGATGGTCTGGTCACATAAAGTGTTGGCTTCCCGATGACCTAGCTATGAGTAGATTTATTAAATCCAACCTATGTTAAGAAAGGTAGAGGTATATCTAAAATTTCTTGGTTAAAAAGTATTAGAAATGACCCTTGTTTATTAGATTTAAATGAGAATCTGACTTTTAATAAGGCACAATGAAGAAAAAGAAAGAATTCATGTAGCCGACATCACATAGTAGGATAAAAGCTTGATGTTGGTAATGCTTTACATGTAGAAGTAAAACTAGGTGTGCATTCTACAGCTTCAAAGCTCCTAATAAACGGAACCCACTTCAACTTATGAATTCTGAGTAAAATAAATAGAGGCTCACTTTCATTTACTTTCAACCAAGCAGATAACCAAACACAAACCTGAAATCCAACAATTCCTAAATACATATGTCAAAACAAACTGAATTCAAACAAGGCTAAGACACATTTGAGGCATCAGATATAATAAAGAGTAAGTAATGAAAGCAAATTCTAAAATTATTAAGGGAGATATTATTACCACTCCAGTCTCTGAATTGACACAAGAGATATTTATCCGTGAATGGAAGCGAACGCTGGGTGGTTTCTCAGGGTAATCCTTGTCACAGAATAGCTTCAACTGATAGATGCGGCCCTCATGAACACACTGCAAAAGTAATATGATTTTAGAGGAAAAGGAAAAGCAAGCAAATCATATTTGAGCAGCTTGAGATTTCGAATTAAGTGCTAACATTAAGTGGACCAATTATGGTGCCTGTCCATGAGCGCATGTAAATGTCATCTCCATCATCCATCCCATAGCTCACCGTGCCATCGCCAATTCCTTTCTCACCTCTTTCAAGTTCTTCTAGCAATCTGAAGTTCCGTGGAACTGTGAATTATGTAGAAGTAGACAGCAGGATGCTAAAATTTCAGAATTTCAGTAGCTCATCAAAGAATATGGCAATCAAAAATTTTCCTTCGTATAATCAGATATATCCGAGAAGATAGACATAAATGCAAAAGTTTTTTAGATGACTTTATGATAAAAGAAACAGAACAAACTGCAAGAATGGCCGTAGCATAGGACAAGATCATAAATAATAGGCTTTGGTAGTTTGAAATGTCAAAACGAAGAGCAAAATAGTCACCACTAAGGGGGAAGATAAAATCAATAAAGTAGATAGATAAGGAAAAAAAACAAAGGATAGATCAAAGACACTTTGATCACTCCTAACCAGAGAAGCCCATCCTCCCAATACCCATCCTCCCAATATTTTTTCCAACTTTTGATTAAAGAATTTAGATGGTTAAAAGTATTGAGAATGTTACTGCGACACAAAATGAAATGGCACCAGCCGTGAAGATACGAAAACCCTCCTTCCCTGCTTGCCAATGTCAATCCATTGGCTCATCATAGCCATGTGGGGGCTGCATAATGGACACAGGACTTACTGCCTGAGAAACAAAGACCAGACATGGCGGAAATGGACCCTGATGTTAATGCCCGCAAGGGTGTACAAGACCAGTGGCGGCAGGGATCCTCTTCCTCTCCTCTTCCTGCACTTCTATATTCACTAGCATGCACATAACCACACCATGCGGCACACACAACAGAGATGCAACTGTCTTATTTTCATAAATGAGCGCCAATCTCTATGGGCCAAGCCCACCTTAGACCCTTCCATCTTCAAATCCCTGCCAGAACTCATCTTTTCTAATATAGATGAGTATGATGAGCCTAAGTCATTGAGAATTAAAAAATATGAATGAACAACTTTAAATCTTAATCATTCAAATATGTGGATGAATGGTGTTAGTTATGATGCGCCGACAATTCCCCTCAAAAAGGTATACAGTCTCCAACATGCATCGAACATAACACACGTCGAAGATGTGTCTGATTAAAAAATACTAAAAATAAATTGGGCACGCATGTCTGGCACACGTCTTAAATGTTTTATGAAAAAACTTTTTAATTTTTTTTTTGTATTTCAAATTTTATTTATTATAAAAATGAAAACTAAATTTATTATCTCCTTACATTTACCCAAAATCAAATTCCTACCCTCATTCTCACATTCCATGAACATCCCATTTCATTTCAATCGTAGGTCACAGTCATGGTTTAACATCAATGCCCAATGACATTTCAAAATTGCCATTTAATGTCATCACAACATCAACATTTCAAAATCATCTCAACATCAAAGTCTGACATTGACACTCAACGCAATCAATTTTTACACTCACAATTATGCCCCCGCACTATCTCAATATTTCATCTATGCCCCACATTGTCTCAACATTAACAACCAATGTCATCTTGACATCTCAAAAACTACGTTCGATGCCCATTGCACAGCATTGATGCAGACTCTCGACAGCATTATTGTCTCCTCTCTCGATGCCTGACATATGACACCGATTCTCGACTCTTGACATCCTAATATTTATCATTTTAAGCATAAATGTTAGTTTTGAATTTAGAAATTTGGAGAAGAAAAAGACTTAATATTATTTCACAAAATTATCCCTATTTATAGATCTATACATGATATCTTAATAAATAAATAAATAACTCCAGAATCATGCATAATTTCTCAAATATAATTCTTCCCAAATCAGTCACCCAAATATGGAAGGAGATCAGGGTGATCCATGTGAGCCTCCCATGGATCCTCATCATAGCCGTGGGATCAAAATGCCCAGTGACATATAAGATTTTAACACTCCCCCTCAAGTTGGGGAATATAGATATGTCATTTCCAGCTTGATAATCAATCTCAGAAAGGTAGAGTTATCAAGTTCCTTTGTAAGAATGTCTGCAAGCTGGTCTTTTGATGAGACAATGTAGATACATATAAGACAACTATCTAGTTTCTCCTTTATAAAATGTCTGTTCACTTCTACGTGCTTGATCCTATCATGCTTAACCACATTATGAGATATGTTAATTGTTGATTTGTTGTCACAGTGTAGCTTCATAGGTCCTTCCCACTTAACCCTTATGTCTTCTAGGATCATTTGATCTATAGTAGCTCACATATTCCCAAGATCATGGCCTTATATTATGCTTCTGCACTGGACTTTGCCACCATATTATGTTTCTTACTTCTTCGTGTAACAAGGTTTCTTCCAAGAAATGTACAGTATCCTGAGGTAGATCGTTTATCTACTAGCAATCCTGCATGATCTACATCAGTATATGCTTCTGGGATTATTCCACTGTTTCTTCTTAAGAGAATCTCTTAACATGGGTTTCCCTTAAGGTAGTGCATTATTCTGCCTACAGCTTGCATGTGAGTCTACTTTTAATTTTGCATGAACTGGTTGACCATGCTTACAACAAACATAATATATGGTCTGGTGTGAGAAAGGTAGATCAATTTTCACATAAGTCTCTAGTAAGCTCCCTTATCTATGTTTAGATATTTTTTAACTTCCCTCAATTTCAGATTTGATTCTACTGGTGTTGGTGCTGGTTTACAAGCTAGCTTACTTGTTTTTTTAAGAAGATCATTACTATATTTTTTTTTTTGTGAAATGAAGATTCCTCTACTGGAGTGGTTCACTTTAATTCAAAGGAAATATTTTAATCTATCAAAATCTTTGATCTCAAATTCCTCAGCAAGGCATTTCCTCATGATAACTTTCTCCTGTTTCATCATTCCCAGTGAAGATAATATCATCCACATAAACTAATAAAATTGTGATTTCCCCTGAGTTTGAGTGCTTGAAGAACAATGTATCCCCCCTTGTCTCTGTCGATAACCATTCAATAGCATGACTTTTAAGAATCTTCCAAACTAAGCTCTATGTGATTGTTTTAAAACCCATATAGAGCATTTGTTAACCTACACACTTTATCGCCCCCAAATTTCTCCTTGAATCATAGTGGAATCTTTATAAATATTTCTTTCTCCAAGTTCTCATGTAGGAAGGCATTTTTAACATCCAACTATTACATATGCTAGTTGTAATTAACTGCTAGTGAGAGTAGAATTCTTAGTGTTCATCTTGGTCATAGGTGCAAAAATTTCCTAGTAGTCAATGTTGTATGTTTGATTGTACCCTTTCACCTCCAGTCTTGTCTTATACCTTTCTAATGTACCATCAACTTTGTATTTCATAGAGAACACCTATAGTTGACTGATTTTTTTTTCTACTAGTAGGTTGGTGATTTCCCATGTACTGTTGTTCTCCAAGGCCAGCATTTCATTTTCCATGTCACTTTTTCAATTTTTATCAAATAAGACCTCAAAATATCATTAGAAATATGAATATCATTAGTGTAACCAGAACATTTTTGTGTGAAAGTGAGAAGTTAATAAAGTATACAAAGTTGATCATGGGGTACAAGGGAGGTTTTTTTTCTGTGAACTTGTGTTAACCTCAATTTCAGGAGACGGTTCACATTCTTGGATCTGCTCTGGAACATAGTTTGTTTTTATACACCTGGAATACCCACTTGCTCAAACTTCCTGTTATCCATAATAGCATTGTCCTCAGTTTCTCTGGCTTTGATTTTAGGTTTAGGTCAATTTGTTTGATGTAGAGCTAGAAGGTCAAGAGGGGCAAGCTCATTTTCCTCATATTCATCAGTTTCAATCTCCCCCAGAATATGAGGTTTAGTGAAATAGGATTTTTGTTCATCAAAGGTAACGTCAACAGATATAAGAGTTTTCTTGGTGGAGTGATGATAACACTTATAACCTTTCTAGGTGGATGAGTATCCAACAAATATACATTTGAGTGCTCTTGGATCTAATTTTCCTTTATTTTGGCTATGAATGTGAACATAGACAGTGCACGAAAGATTATGGGTTTAAAATTTGAGGTAAAAAGATGATAGAATATCCATTGGTGTTTTACGTCTCAAGGTTTTTGAAGGTAGTTGATTTATAAGATATGTGGAAGACATAAGGGCTTCCCCCAGTAGGATTTACATACATTATGGTGGAATATAGAAGTGCACAAGTGGAGGCTAGAAGGTGACCATTTTTCTTTTCTACAACCCCATTTTATTGTAGGGTTTGAATGAGGAAGACTCATGAATGATATTTATTTTGAAAATAGGAGGAAAGGATTTGATTAAAATAATCTTTAGGATTGTCTGAACGAAATTCTTTTATTTTTATCCAATTTTTATCCCAAATTGGTGGGATCATGGTATGAAAAATGGGAAGGATAATGCTAACATCATATTTGTTTTTGAGGAGAACGGCCCAAAAGACTCAAGTGCAGTCACCAAGGAAGAATACAAACCATCGTGCCCCTGAGATGTTAAGGATTTTTTAGGGTCCCCATATACCACTATGAATAAGATAAAATGGTGTATTACATCTCTCATGTTTGTTTGGAAAATAAACTCATTTATGCTTGGTTAACTCACAAGTTTCATAATGAAAAAATTCATTTTCCATCTTATAAAAAAGTTTTGGATACATATTTCTTAAGACATCAAAAGATTGATATCCTAATCTAAAATGGTGAAGCCAAATAGTATATTTTTTATCAAATAGGAATAAAATAGTAATTATTGGTAATATTAGATTTGTTCAGCTCTTCCAGGTAATACAAAACATCTCTCTCCTTAGCAAGTCCAATCTTCTTCCCCAAATCTCTAGTCCTAAAATAAGCAACAAGTATGATTTATAAGACTTGACAACAACATTTTTTTTTTTTTTTTTTTTCAATTTTTTTTTTTTTTTTTTTTTTTGGGGGGGGGGGGGGGGGGGGATTAGGACTAAGCCCGTATATTATAAAATGAGATTACAAAGAACCACAAAAGCAACTCTAAATAAAAATTGCAAGTAAAATGAGACTTGTAACAAAAACCAACTATAAGGGCATCAAAAATTCCCAAAAAAAAAGCCAAAAATGGTCACA